GCCCCCGCCGCGCCCACCACTGCTCCAAGGGGCACAGCCAGGTGAGAGAGATGGGGCCTGGGATCTCAGAGGGTCCCACCATGCCCACCACAGCTCCGAGGGCGCCCCACTCGTCCTGTGCAGGCCTGGCAGTGCCTGTGGATGGCCGCTGTGGGGGGGCCCCAGCAAAGAGCATTAGAGGAGGAGACGAGATGAGTTAGAAGCAGATGACCTGTCATTTATTGTACCTCTTAATGAACTAATGTTTGTTTCTTTAATTGCCAGTGTGTGGGGCACGGCTGGGCTGCATCCTCTTCCCTGCCTTGTCTCTGCCATGAGGATCCCACACAGGCGCATGCCCATGGCTGGGCTGCATCCTCTTCCCCGCACTGTCTCTGCCATGAGGGTCCGCACAGGTGCATACCTACGTGCACCCACAGTTCAGTCCGCAGCCGCCATGGCCCCCAGCTCCTCCCGTCAACGCTTACCGACTGTGCTGCAGCCGGCCCAGAGGGTTCTTTTTTGGGGGGAAGATTTTAGCTCTAGGGTATATGTGCTCACCGGAGAGACAGAGACAGAATGCAAAAATTCCCCCCGGGGGATGGCCGCTCCGCAGTCCCTGCTCCTGCACTTCCCTGCTCCTGCACTTCCCTGGGGACCTTGGGCGCGTGGGCGCGCATGCACACGTATCCAGCGTTGAGTGTCAAACCACGTGGTCTGGAACTTGCACTGTGGTTTCAAGTGGGAGTCCACGATGGAAGCACTGGGCTGTGTGCTGGCTCCGAGATGGCTCCGTTGCACCTGTTAAAGGAGCAGTCTGTAGAGTAGGGAGGTCCCTGTGCAAGGTGCAGTGTCCGTCCTAACTGGACTGCAGGCAGCTTTCCGGAGTGCCGCTTTATTGTTTGCTTTTGCTGCCTTTTTTGTTTAGGTTTTACTTTAGGGTGCGTGTGCTCAGCAGAGACAGAGGGAACGTGATAGCTCACCCCCAGAGCACAGCCACGCTGCAGTCCCTTCTCCGTTCTCTCGGGGTTTGGGCACTCGCGCGCACCTGGCGTGATTTTCAAGCTGCCAGGTCTGGAACGGACTGTGTGGGCACATGGGACTCCAGGGCCTTAGCTACTACGCCGCCTGCTGGCCTCCGAGCAGACCCGCTCCGTGTCTCTGTAGTGTGAGATCTGATCTGACCTCTGCATGTGACAGTCCCTCGTCTGGACACTGTGCGTGTCCTGGGCTGCATGCAGTGGCTCAGTGGGGACAGCCCTGTGGCTTCGTCGTGCTCATGTGGCGGAATCTCAGGCTCGGGAGGGAGTGTGACCTGGAGAAGAAGGGGAACGCACAGACGTACCAGCACAAGGAGTGAGCGAGCGCAGGCCGAGGGGCTCTGCTGCTCCGTTCTCTCCACAG